GGTAAAACTTCGAGATAATGTGTTGGCCTTGCCGGTTATATAATAATGTTAGCGACCGCTTATAAATGCATTACCCCTATATAACCCATGTCTTCACCCCAACAATCCCAGGTCGGAGAAGACGAAGGAGGGCTTCAACGACCAGTTGAGTGCGAAGAAAGCGGATTTCGATGCTTTGAAAAGCAAGATGGAGGCCCTGTACAGCAGCTGCAGCCAAGTGATGGACAAAGACCTCACGACGGAGCAGCAAACGGACATAGCAAACTTGTTGCAAGCTGCTGAGACATTGTCAAACGACCTGAATGGGTCCTTGAGGCCCATCAAGATGACATTGGAATCTTGGATTATGTAGCTTATGATATTTTTTTACTAGTATTACCCCAAACCCTATCCAATTGACCACAGCTGATGCTCGCCTATGTACTTATAAAACATCAGACCAACGAACCCTAGGCCTAGGCCGGAATCTAAAGTTATATAACCCCTAATCGTCCGAGTCTGAGCGCCTAAAGCCTCAAGCCATATAAGGCCGATTGCACAGGGCGAGTTAGACATCGTGTACATCATGATTCCTCGCCATCGGTATATATGTATATATATATATGTATATATGCACGACAATCCGTAGCCCTAACATATATTATATAATAAGAACACTCGACACCCTTAAGAGCTTCTACAACATGATCCCAGGATCCGCCAAAGGTGAAAGCCAAGGCCAAGGCTTCGCGAGGAAAGTGATGAGATATGGGGCCATCGTGAGCTGCAGTGATCTGCAGCAGTGGAGGGGATCACAGAGTTTGCGGGGCCGAAGCAATGTAGCTACGGGACAGCATGCATGATCGAAGTGCATACCCTGTGCATCGGAGTACATATCTACGACAAGATAATCTCTGGGGCTCATCTCTAGCTATAGCTACAGCCAGGGCTAGCTATCCGGAGACATTCGAGCATGCATTGCTGTTGGAACCTGGAGCTGTTCGGCATTGCTTGGATTTTGTGTCAAGCCTGATCCCGAGGGAAGCCTGCGAATATGTCTCCAGATCTAGCTACAACGTACCATTTCAATTACTGATCATGAAGTTCAAAGGCTTATTTTGCAAAGGGGCCAGCTACCCGACACCGTTCTCATACTGCTGTGCTGCCGGTAAAACTTCACGGAGTGATGCTGTCGTCATGTCGCCATGTATCGTGAAACCCTGCAGCTTTAAACCCTGCCCCTCGCAGGTGATCTGGCAAGGGCGAGGTCATCGCCTATGTTCAACCATTTGATGCGAGCAGTTGGTCGTGGTGCCGCCTGATTGCAGATATGCAGGTTACGTAGTGAGCGAGTCCACCCACTAGCTACCCACTGTATTGCACCCCTCATGAGCCTCAGAATCGCAGGAACACTTCACGAGTGCCCCACAATGTCTGCGAGTCCACTAGCTTTGCACCCCTCATGAGCCTGAATCAGGAATCCTTCACGAGTGCCCGCCAATCGCTGCAAGCGATGAAAGAGGACCGCAAGTTACCACGTGCACTAACCAAGCTTCCTAGGCAACTCCTTGTGGCTTCAACTGTTCGTGATTGTCTGCAGGAGATGATGAAGAACTACGGCCTGAAGATGACCGGGCCGTGTGCGAAGCTAGAGGCCGCAGGAGCCCACGGGAAATGGGGCAGCAACATACAACGGGACATGCTGCGGACAAGCAGCACTGGGGATGATGTGCCTTGATTGGTATCAGAAAACCTAGCTAATTTAGCAGCTGTGCACAACCCAGTCCGGAATGCCAAAGTAAGTACACCCCAGCAGGGTCTAGGTACATGAAATTTAAATAAACCACAATCGATCCAGCCTCAGGTTCCCATCGATATGGTGGATGTCCCGATCAAGCCTGAGCAGGGCAAGCTGAAGAGAATGATCAAGCCGCTTTTCTTAATTAATATATATATATATATACATATGTGTATATGTACATACTATGTATATCAGAGACTATATATATATGTATACAAATATGATTGCACACAGTCCGGTTTCGGGGTTCCCTGCTGCAGGTCGTGTTATAGTGATTGGTGTCGGCATCGATCTGATCATAACTTAAGCTTGGAATACGAGTTGCGATGCAAGGTCGATGCCGGTCGTGCTACCCCACAAACTGGTCCCCTGGCTTATTCGTATTGGCAAATGGCCGAGTGTTGCCGAGCAAGACATTCGCCACTACTGGCTGCATCACAAGCTTCGGGGTACTGGAACCACGGCCCCCTCAACTGCACACCACCCCTTCTGGATTTGGGGCGATGACTGCAGGTACGGGAAAAAATTCAATCAAAAGGTTATGGTTTGTATGATGGGCCACGTCTTGGACCGGAACCGGGACTCCTACTCCAGCTGTTTTCCTCTTTGGGTGTGTGGCTGTGACTCCTGCCTTAATTTTTGTATTACAACTGGAGCAAGCTTAAGTACATATTACAATCACCGGCCTTGTCCAAGTCCAATCCGGGCCCCACATCCCAGGAGCTCAGCCTTGGAATGGATACGATCGCGGCCTACATGGGGCCGGTGCCATGGAGAAATTAAATCGTGTACTGATCTGCTTCGAAAGCTATAGCGAATAAATGAGACATTCGATACCTCAATCAGGTGGTGGCCAGCTTCAACTTGCTGGTTGAAGGTGTACAAGTGTGCCGCTATGGGGAGTCTTTGATGGTGCACGGGATGTGCACCGAGATTCGCGGCGATTGGAAGTGGCAGAAGGAGTTTACTGCTTGCTTATTTTCCTAACATAATAATAACTAATATAGCTAGATTGTCCAACCATATACAGAAATAAATTTAATAAGAACCATAACCCATCAACCCCAAATCCTCTACAGGAATGGCTGGGGCTAAAGCCAGGATGGAGCTCCAAGGAGCTCTGTCATCAATGCAAGGTGACTATGAATGCATATGCTGTTGTGCCCTCCATCCTGCATGAGCTACCCAGACGAAGCCTGGACGAGCTGGTGCAAAACTGCTTGCAACCCGGCACTCGAAGTATTCAGGCTGCAATTAATTTAATCGCCATTTCAACCTCAAAGCTTGAACCTTTTGCAATCTTCCGAATACAAAAACCACGGTAAGCCCCAGGCCCGCTCTTCGATCTGCACTCATTCCATCCTGGCGCCATTCGTTGGTGCTCCATGCACGTGGTAAATTTGGGAGTGGCCTTATGGGTCGTGGGCAGCTGCTTCAAGCTTCTTTTGCTGGAGTTCCGGATTTGGGGAGTTGGGAGCGACGGTGAGCGATTGCAGACGGCTTTCGAAGACTTTAAGGCCTGGTGCTCGCAGCGACGAATCCCGCTTCTCATAAACATCATAGAATCATGGTTTTGGCCCCTGGTTGAGCTCTATAGTTTATAACAAGCTTAAGCCCATAATTAATCATGTCAGCTGCAGTCGGAATCACACAAGGCACACACAGCCCCGCTTTACGACTGCCTCATTGCGATCGCCGGATGGGCCTTACCCTGAACTCCGGGCCAAGGCCTACAATGCTTCAGAGATGCAATAGAAGTCGATGTCATGTTAACTTATGCTAATGTATATCTTGCAATTGCACATCTATGTATACCCTCCGATTGTTTACATAATTCTATAAGGCTCGGGTTGTGGTGGCATGGTTGGCTTCTTTCCTAATGGAGTTCTACACGGACCAGACCCACGGCGCCCCGGAGGACCTCAAGCTCATGGCCGAGTGCACGTCAACTGTATGCATTATTTCAATCCTGATATATATATATATATATATATATATATATATCTATGCAATATATATTACATATATGTATATATATAGGGGGTTAACTGTGTTTAACATTAAAATATATAGGGGATCGTAGGTTATAAATTTTAAATTCCCGTGGGCCACATAGACCATGATGTAGCATATAGGCTAGCTGCTTATAGTTATTCAATTAAAAACCAAAGCCCCACTTCAAGGCATTGGCTGGCCTCATGGTTCAACCTCTCGGAGGACTCGTCGAGGTACCTGCAGGAGCAGAATGCAAGTGCCATGCAGATGTGCTGTGATGCTTGGGTGCAGTTCGCATTTTGTTGTTTAAAGTTGCCTTGGCCTATGTGCCACACTCTGAGCGGTAGCATTAGAGCAAATGCAATGAGGACAAGTGTATGTTCGCCTACATGCTGCTTGCGGAGAAGGCTGGTAGCTACCATCGACCGTTGTGGCCTCTGAAGCCCAAGTTCCACGTGCCCAGGATGCAACCAGAAATGCACATGCAATCAAATGAAGCTTCATGTATCGGCTACGTGGTCTATGAACATACTCGGAATGCGAATCTTAGGCATGGCAAGAGCTAGCATATCATCAGGTGGCTACCCGCCACTTGGATTTGCAACCGTGTGGGCTTCGAAACCCTAGTCATGTCGGATTCGCAGATATTATAAAAAACAAGCCAAGGTGAGTCGTGCCGCTTCTACCACTGCTTTATGCAGGAAGACGGTGTCGGGAAGATATCTCGACTCTTATCTGCACCGGATGGAAAGCTATTGCACTGATGATTCCTAGAATATTCTGAAACACACTGCTCAAACCGAGGATTGGCAGCAGTGTGTCACCCGTGGAGTTTGTGTAACATAGCTGTGCAAAGATGGTACTTGCAGCTGGTGCATGGCGATCCCGACGAGTGAAAACATGCCGAGGGCACGTGGTCATCATGATGAGCAGGTCCAGCCGGGGTATCGGGGCCAAAACAGCAGCGGCCCACCCCGACACATCAATCACGATCCGCCCAATCCTATGTTATATAAGATGTTGCAAATAACAAACCCAGCAATTGTTAGCCACAGCATCATCTTACACAGCTGTTCTCCCACAGAGGGCTCTGTGAATCATTACACGATAATCACATACTTTCGACCCTTGGGGTTTTGGCATCCGAAGCACCAACTGGCGGTCCAGAACAGATCCCTGGAGGAACGCTGCCGAGATGTCGCCGGAGTTCAAGTTCTTCCGGGTCGCCGCGGCATAGCTGATCACGAGGCCCATGCCCACCTGAGATCCGGTGGGACTGTCCGTCCTCATGTCGGTCGAGTCCTCCAGGTCGCCTCGGACAACAAAGCGACTCTTGTACTTTGGCTGTTCGCCCTTTTCGGCACTGTCGATATCCACCCATCTGGTAGCGATCACTCGGAGGTTAGGGTTCTCCTTCTTCATGGCCTCGAGCTCCTGCGGCGTGATCTTGCGCATGTTGGAGTAGCCCTTCCAATTGTCCCACTCCTTGCGCCGAGTCTCGTCGAGCTGCTTCTTGACTTCTTCACTGGCATGCTGATACATGATCTCACGCCCTTTTCCTTGCTTTTGAACCTTCTTGCGGTACTTCTTCTCGCCCCGTTGCGCAAGGAAGGCATGCACTTTCTTCTGCGCCGTGGTTGCCTGTGCCAACTTGCGCTCGGCTATCACATTGCGGTGCTCGGGAGCAGAAGCCAAGTGACCTAAGCCTGGTGGAGCGGCCGGAGCCCGAGAAGGGGAGCGAGACCGGATGTGACCATCAACTTGATCCACGGATCGCCGGAGTGCTGATTGCAGCTGCGTCACCAAAGGCCCCCCAGAAGTAGAAGTCGAAGATGGATTTTCTGCTGGTAGTGAAGCTGGCTGCGTCATTGCTTCGTCTAGCAAGGACCCCCCGGAAGTAGAAGTCGAAGCTGGATTTTCTGTTGGTGGTGAAGCCTCGGCTGCGTCACTGGTCTCGACCTCGTGGGGCTCCTGCTCTGGTTGTGTAACTTGTCGTTCTGGCAGATCCCCTGGCATGTCCAGCACAGATTCGCCAGGACTTGGCGCTTCCATCTCCATCGATTCAGCAGGCAAAGCAGGTTGTGGTGGAGCAAGTGCAGGTAGCGTGGCTGGGGCCCCCGAGGATGTAGAACTGGAGGGAAGTTCGCCCACGAAGTCAAAGAACTGATTGGGCGCCTCGTCCTCCTCTTCTGGCAGATCGCCGGAGAAGGGAAGGTTCTCCAGATCGTCCTCGAAGGTGTCTCGAAACTTCCGCTTTGGGCGATTAGAAGGCCACCCTGGTCGAAGTTCCAATGCCTGCTTCCGACGGATATCCTCAACGGTCGCCGGTCTGCAACAAGTGTCCGAGATCAGCACCGTCATCCCGGAGTGGACCAACCACAAGGAACTCTTCCCCTCATTGGACAGGACCCTGGCTGGCCCAAACCATCGACCTCGCCGGAAGTAGTTCACCAGGTCGCCGGTTTGATAGGGCCCTCTTATCGGATGGCTTTGGCGAAGCATAGCCTTCCGAATCCTTTGGCTGGTGTCAACATAGACAAAAGCCTCCTTGGCCCATTGGCGCGTGAGCAGTCGCTGACCAAACTCGTCCTGAGGGTCATCGATCATCTGGTGGATGCCGAGTTGGGTCCCGGCCGCCTCCGACAACAAGGAAGTCACATCGGAAGGAATCTTTCCGAGGACCCACTGGGCCGGAACGTAGCCTTCGTGCAGGTACGAAGAGTTCTTTGTGGCAGCACACTGGGACACAACAGCACTCACAGCGAACTCTCCACTCACATGGTGTTGCGAAATGACTCGCTTGACCATCTGCTTCAGGATGCCCCCATGCCGCTCGACACGGCCCACCTGCCACGGTGCCTTGACGCCCGCCTGCTTGATCTCTACGCCAAGAGAACGCAGCAAAGAAGCCACCTTGCCTTTGTTGTGAACGCCTTGGTCGCACTTGAACAACTTGGGTGGACCGGCCCAGGCCAGCCAGGCATGATTCAAGAAATCAGCGCATGCCTTGGAGGATGGTGTGCCGCCGGCTGACACGCGGCCGGCCACATGGAACTTAGTTCCCTCGTCGACCAACGAAAGGATAGTGTGCCGTTCCCCCTTGGCATCCACAACCTCGAAAGCGTCACAACCAACCTGGTGGTTGAAGCGAAAGGGTGGCGGTTCAGCCACAGCTCTTGGAGGATCGGGCTTCTTTCTGTCCAAGCAAGCCTGGCAACGAAAGTACTTGCAGGCCGTTACTGTAGCAGGCTCGGAGCCGGCCGATCGCAACATGCGTGCCATAGCTTCATTGGAGGCGTGGCCAGTCATCTGGTGGAGCCGCCTCAAGGCCAGACGCTTCGGCCTTTCCAAAAGGAGCCACTTGCGCCTGCGTTCCTTTTCGAACTCTGGCTGCCCGGCTTCTTGATCTTCTTCGAGACCTTCTTCCCGACGAACTTCCTCAGTGGACACAGGAGGTGGCAGAAGGTCACCTTCGTCCTCGGATTGATTGATCGCGTCGATCGGGCCGAACTCCTCGTGCTCCTCAGCCTCGTCCTCTGCCGCAAACACCACAGAGGAACTCAACGAGACTAGTTCTTCGTAGGCGGCCTCCACCAGGGAATCGCACAAGGTAGTCGCCCAAGGAGAGGAGATGCCGCCAACATGCCGGTGGTGAGGCCGTGATCCGATAGCCGCCGGGCCTGGTCCACAAACTCGACCCAATACGCCCTTTATCTTCTCAGAGGCAGTCAAGATCCCAGACAAACGGGTGCTAGGCCTCCTTCCAGCACCGCCGCGCTCATACTTGGAGTGGTCGAGGTAGAGAACGTCCATGCTCTGCCCCGTGGCTGGGTGCTCCTCCTGGGTCAGACGTTCGATACAGCGAAGCTTCCAGAACAGGCCCCACCAGGGACTTTCCACAATCACCTGCCGGCCGAGCTCGTGACGACGCCTAACAAGGCGAGCCACCCAATCCACCACAGATTACCACAACCGCCGCTCGGCCAGCACTTTGTGTACAATTGGGTTGTTGTTCGTGAGGTCAATGTTCGGCCAGTGGCTCCAGGGCATAGTAGTAGGTGACACCACGGTGATGTAAGGGTCCTCGGCCTCAACACGTTCCCAAATCTTGTCACGCACGGCTGGGTTGAGGAGGTTGCCCTGGTCCAGTTCAAGGTCGATAGGGGCTGCCACCGGCATTCCCCAGCCCACGGCTGCCGCAGTCATGGCGGCAGCGCCTGCGAAGATCTCCAAGAGGAAGCACCGACAGCCCCGAGGGAGCAAACCGCGAACTCGATGCCGCTGAGACTGGCGGCCAAGCTGGTGCCAAAGGGTGGTGTCCAACCGCTTGACCCCCTGGCTGTGGTCCTCGATCTGCCTCTTTTGTCCCTTGGAGAGGCTTGCCGGCCGCTCTTCATCAAACTTGGCGTGGGCGGCAAGGCTTGGGGACTCAGGTTCCAGAGATCCCTCGCGGTGGAACGTGCCCAGGGACTTGTAGAAGAAGGTTTGCCCATGCCATTGGCCGCCGATCTCCTCAGTTACATCCTCTATCTCCGCTTGCTTTTGCCAATGGTCCTGAAACTCCACCTTCTCACCGGTGATGGTGTTGATTGCCACGGTTCGCCGAAAAGGGTAATCAGGCAGCTGGTGGTCGTAGTCCTTGTCGTCGCTGGGCTCCCGGACGGGGTCGTAGAGGTAGTTCCTTGGCCGCACATGTACCCGAACAAGAACGTCTCCGAGCTGTTCCCAGTAATCGCTCTCCTCCTCTTCCTCCGTGGCCGTTGGCTGTGGTGGCTCGGTCGCTTCCGCCGACATGGCAAAATGAGAAGGCTCCTCGTCCATAAGAGGTAGAAGCCGGAGCGCCGGTAGGCCATCACGATCGATCACCTCCATCTCCTGCCGGAAGAGCTTGCTGAAGACGGTGTTCCTCTCCGCGTCGATGACCATGCCCAATTGCTTTTGAGCACCATAGCTCAGCAGAAGCGGGGCCTCGGACTCTTCAAGCTCTGTGGAAGTCACCGTGCCCTTGGCCAGGGTGCCATCGGAGAGCTGGAGGCAAATGTGGAGCTCGCGTTTTCCCAGAGCCCTGACGCGGCCACCGATCCCCTTGAGGCTGGAGCCTTGGGCTGGCGCCATGTAGGACTTCATCCATCGAGCGCCGTGGCATGTTTGGTTGCACCCGGTGTCCAGCACGGCCAGAAGGCAGTCCTCCGAGGGCACATCGTCGACCGCCATATTGGCTGTAGCTCGGCTTTGGTGTTCTCGGCCGCGGCGAGCGAGCAAGTAACGGGAAAAGTTCTGCAAAGAATGAGCTTGCAAAGTGCCACCCTGGCTGAGGATCCATGCGCAATAGTCAGGGAAGTTCTCATAGACCTCGCGGTAGGTGCGCCCCTTATGCTTGCCCGAGTGCAGCACAGTATCATCATCCATGCCGTGAGGAAGGGGATTCGCGGCCGGAGCGGCGGCTGTCGCAGTCGACGGTGCTACCTGAGCTTGTGGTGTAGGAGGTGCCGCCTTAGCCGTTCCTCCGGCCGTGGGTGGCGCCGTCTGGCTTGGAAACGCAAGAGTCGCCGACAGCCGCTGCAAGTAGACACGGGTGCAGTTGTTCACAATGTCGTTGAGACGTTCCACCGGCACCGGCATTCCCCCGCTCTCTTGCACCTGAACCACTGTAGCGGCTAAGTCCATGATCTGCTGAGCATGGGAGCCGGAGACGCCGATCGGATACGCCATCGGAGGTGCCGGGACCGTTTGGTCGTGCTCCTGTCGCCCGGAGCGGCTGAGGCCGCAGTCCTTGCAAAACCACTTCCACACATGATGGTTTTGGTGACGTTCTCGTGCTTGCAGTCCTCGGGCTTCTTGGGATAGACAGTGTCCGACGAGGCAGACCCCGGAGCGGCTTTAGCAGAAGGCTGTTTCTTCTCGCGCTCCAGCACCTTGCCGCAGTCCTTACACGTCTTCAGGTGGTAGTGCTGGTTGGTCCCCTTTGTGGTCGTTCGGGAGTGAGTACAAACCTTCCCGGAAGCACCTGGGGCCTTAGGTGTCGGGGCCGATGTCTTAGGAGAGGGCGGCGGCGTCAAGGAAACAGGAGAGGTCATTCCGGAAGAAGACGGCACAGCCGGAATCATCGGAACAGCCGCCGGCACTATCTCCTGCATGGGTCCCTGGGTGATCGCCGGCACCGGCTCACCCGTCGGCTCGGTAACATCCATTTCCCGAACTGACTGCAGCATCTGTTCGATCACAACGTCGCTCGAGGCCCTCAAGGCTTCCATCAACATCTGGCTGTCAACCACTGACCAACTCCGGTTGGTGGTGCTGGCTGCCAGCTCCGAAGTGGCAGGAACCAGGGAAGTCACCGTAGGCGCTGGTTGTGTCGTAGGTGGCACCGCTGAAGTAGAAGCCGGCAAAGGGGCCGCCGCCGGTGAACCCGAGGTGGTAGAGCTCGGCGGCAAAGCAGCAAAGGGCGCTGGCGACACCATTGTTGCCGTGGCGGCTGGCTTTGGTCCGGTCCAGGAAAGCAAAGAAGCCAAAGTAGGTGGAGCCACGCCATCCAAAGAGGATGCCTGGCCCGAGCTCTGAGCCGGAGCTGCCGCCGGCCTTGCATCATCCAATTGCGAAGGCGGAGGGACCTGCGAGAACTCACCACGATACGCCATCATCGCGGCCGGGTTGCCGGGAGTGTCGTCTCGAACTGCAAAGCCCAGAGGGTCCGAGTCGTCGTATGTTGATTGTTCGGCCGAAGTTATGCTCAGAAGGGATTTAGGGCCCAGGTAGGTCTTTCAATGAAAACACTCACTCAGGAAGGTTTCACGGGATTTTAACTACTTTGGCTTCATAGGTTAAGAGACTATTTGATCCAGGGCAGACAAGTATGCATAGCTGCCGCCTTGGTAGCAAGAGTACCTACATAGCTGGTTAGTCACGATCATATATCTGAGATGTGATCTTATGCATAATTAGCAGTTTTTTGGCGGTCTCCTGGCCGCAATGCTTCGAGCTTCGTTGCGTGTCCGCAACAAGAATTCGAAGCTTAAAGGTGCCACCACCCCTGTGCTCTGCTCGCTGTGCATGCACAGTTTTGTTGATCGAATGCATAGCATGCCATACACGCAGCCGTGAATCGAAGCTTTGAAGCAGGTCGTCATGCAAGCCCAGGGCTAAACAATAATCCTTAAAAGCTGAATCCAACTTGTGAACCATGGCATTGCAGCGTCAGTTCTCGCAACCCATGAAATACTTCTTATCCGCATCTTGGTGGCATCTCTTCTTTGATCGAAGTTTTCTAGTTCGTGATCACGAGCGTGCATCGTGCTCTTCATTTTCATTCGTTTGCTTGTGTTCACAATAAGGAAGCCGCCGAAAGGGTCTGCAACGGCATCAGACCGATACTGGAGGCTAAGCTTCAGAAGTCCATTGAGGAGGCCCTTTGATGTCGGATGAATATGTCTAGTGTGTATTGTCTGCATGCTACTGCCGTGGTTGAAAACTAAAATATTTCAGGCGAAGAAGTTGGTTATCGACGACCCGGATGACTCCGGATCCCACAAGGTCGATTGAATAAAGTAAGACATGTACATGTACAGTAAAACATCGAGCAAATAGTACTTGGAACTAGTCGATTGAATCAGGCAAATGATGCTGCATTCTGCCGGAACTACGAGATGCTCAAGATTCTGATTCCTCATTGCATGGAGCCGAACTCCCGCATCCCGAGCATGACGGACTTCAAGGCCCATCGAAGTGTACAGTTAAGGTTATATTAATACTACGAGTGAGATATCCCCTGCCCACCAGGTCGCGTTGATTCACCTCTCATGTGTGCATGGGCTGCATCCCCATGTGCGCAAGCGTGGTGGCAAGAAAGCCGTGAAAGACTGCCGATGTGTTTTAGTTTTGTCGAATCCCAATTCATATCTGTGTTCGGTCCGGCTATGCTGAGCAACATGTGATTTCGCAGGAGTGGGCTTACGAGGAGGGGGGACGAATCAGATATCTTATGGCTGGGCTCTGGAGGGTCACGAAAAGAACACTCCATGCCAAGTATCTTGCTTTATTGTGTCATGCTCATGTTTCAAATTGAATGCCTCTTGTTTTGGCCAATTTCTTCTGAGGAGCAAGAGGACCCAGATTCTCAAGCTGTTGCTTGCGCGCATCATGCAGTGGGTGACGGATGACGACGAATTGGCCGAAGCTTGGCCAGGTATTAGAATTCATTGGGGAATAAAGTCCCAGGTATCTTGCAATTGATCATCGATATAATACTAAATCTATAAAAACCAGGGCGAGCATGAGAATTAAGCTCTCATGCGAATGTCGGTTGCAATATATATATATATATATAATTTGTTTAAATATCTAATTGTACAGAAAAAAATTCGAATCATATTCTTGCCGAATTTGTCTTTGCATCCCGGGTCTGAAGATCGTGTCAGCCGCTCAGGTGGCCGATGCTGGTGCCGGCCATTCCGACCACGATGATGATGATGACGACCTGGTGCCCGGAGCAGAGGCTTCCGAGGATGAAGGTGCCGAGGATGATGATCTCGATGGTGCCCCTTATGACAATGAAAATGATATGGAGGGGAATGAGGGGCCTGATCCCGACCACAGCCCCGATGGCATTCGCCGCAGCTTGCATGAAGTGACTTGCTTAAAATATCATGCTTCGATCTGCGTGTGTTGTGTATCATGTGTCGTGGACGATACGCATACATGCATGTGTGCATTCATGATGCATGCACAATTAGGACCTGGAGCAAGAGATGCATCGACTTCTATCCTCGGAGTCCTTGAGCAAGGATGGGGACAAGCTGATGACAGAAACCGATGGAGTACTTTGGTCAGATTAATACAGATGTATGTGTGCAATATGTTTAGATAGCTAGTAATAACATTTGATCAGGCTCCCTCGACATTGGCTGTGCATGCGATGAGTGATGTGGACTATGCCGGACCAGAAGTCCCTGGCCTATGCATATATCATGAGTTGAAGCCCTGTGTCCTAGAAATCTTGAGCTGAGGATGTTCCACACCCATGTGATGTATTGCCAGCATCGGAATTGGAGTTCGAGGACGACTCGGTGGAGGCAAACGTGTCTGGATGCATATATTTTTACTGCAACTTGTGGTGCAACTCCTGATATCGATGGCTTCTAGCTAGATGTGTTTCAATAAATCACTGTAGCTAGCCATGGCTAAGGACAAAGCCGAGCTGGACCTCCAGCACGACCTGGATGCCTTTATGCAGGCTGAATCTGGACTCGAGTAAACCCAAAAACCCAAGCTCCGAAGTTGAAGGCCCCAACAATTTATAGCACATAGCGGGAATTCGGCATGCCAAGGAGCTCAAGAAAGCCGACATCGACACCAAGTGCATCGACGACTGCAAGGTGGCCGCCACCAATGCCAGTAAAGCATCTCCGGGAAAGAGGGCCACCTGCCAGTGATACATTTAAGTTCGCCAGCATCATCTATGTTCAGTTTTAGGGTGTATCATGATCTACTTAGGATCGGATGCCACTTGTGACTGGGGGTGCAGACCTCCCACCAGAGCTTCGAGAGCTCTTGGGTGAGAGCACAGAGATGATCGATGTTAACACTACGCTCACCCAGCAGCGTGCCATCAAGAAGCTTAGCAAAGCCGCTAAAGCTGCAAAACAGGCCGGAACACTTTCAACTCATTACTACCATAAAGTGAATAATCGCAGTACTGTATGCTGTTGAATCATTATCTTATTTCCTGTATTAGTATGTATGTGTTCTTCAGCCACTACATGGCCAGGCTCCGAAGGAGACGGTTCCGGACAACAAAGCGACTCCGGACGACAAGGAAGCGACTCCGAAGAGGAAGGCGGCTCCGAAGAAGAAGGCGAATGCAAAGAAGAAGGCGAGTCCGAAGAAGAAGGCAAGTCTTAAGCAGCCCACGGCATCGGAAGCCAATCCGGAGGAGGGGCCGGAGTTGAAACGCAAGGCATCGGGCGTCATGGATGGTGAAGCCGAGGAGGGGCCGGAGTTGAAGCGCAAGGCATCGGTCATCATGGATGGTAAAGCCGAGGAGGGGCCGGAGTTGAAGCGCAAGGCATCGGTCATCATCGAGGCGGGTAAGGAGTTCAACACTCCACCTGCAGTTTCCAAGGAGGTTGAGCCCGACAGCGATCCCATGCAGAAGCCGGCCCGGGCCCCTCGAAAGGCTACAGCGAAGGCCAAAAGCAAAGCAAGCAAAGAGACCCAAGATGCAGCAGATGGACGGCAAGCCACGGCCGATGCGAATTGCCTTAAAATTCGTGCGCTTTCGGGCAAGTTTCCCGAGCTTCCGCCACCGGTTGGATTCACAGGGAAGCTCCGTGACTGCAGTACATGATGAGTACAACTTGTACAAACATGTCAAACATGTGGTTCATGAAGTTGGGATCTCAGGAGCTACACCGTTTTCCCCCCACGTGGGTTGAGTGACAACCCGAATGTCAGTCCGATCACATGTGCTCTGTATTGCAGTGTCTTCTATGTCCAGCGGACTGCCAGACCTGCTGATGCTGAGGCTTACGGTGCACTTCGACTGAATAATGGCTTTATTGCATAGCCTCAGACCAATGCCCATGTTTCATATCTTGCTAAACCTTGCTGGCCTCTCATCCAAGGTCTCTGTGGACCGGAAGAAGAAGGGCTCCACCATCTCGTGGTCCAAGAATGGTGGACTGGCCAGATCGTAACCTGGGCTTATGAATATTAAAGTGTAGTTTCGGTTGCTGTAATCGAGCTTGATTTTGCAGCTAATCCCAGGTGGTTGCTGGCGAAGTTCCTAGCCGGATGGCTTGGCGATGTGGACCCCATCGACGAAGACGATTTAAATGATGGTGACGAAGCTACTCGAGCTTGCATTGTGCTTGCTCGTGGGGTATAGCTGTCCATGTAGATAATTCAATCACCCTCGAGCTTAACCCCAATAATACTACACATCCCTACATATATATATATATATACATATTTATATTGTTCTGAAACTTCAAGCCGAGATCATTCAGCCACTATTGCATTATTGCAGCAATGTGTTCGGGTGTGTACATTCACCGAAGGGCGAAGTGATACCAATCCCGAGCCCCAGGGGTTAAGGCCTGCAGTCCAACAACAGCACCCGAGCCGGTGAGGTAGACTCAAGTAGATTCGACCTTGTAATCCCCACTACAGAGTTTGTTTTAGCTACAAGGCTAGGATGAGTACAGGTCCCTGTATTTATATAATAAATGTGCCCTGGGCCCCTTGGCCTTACAGCCTGTCCTCCTATCGAAATCTGCTACCCCTATATCATACTTACGCTAAAACCCTTATAATTAATCCAAAACCTTAAGCCCTGTATAGCTATTGATTTAGCCACTCAGTCGTGGCCCTTGCAGCCCAAGCTCTCCCTAAAACCCTAATTAATCCAAAACCTTAAGCCCTGTATAGCTATTGATTTAGCCACTCAGTCGTGGCCCTTGCAGCCCAAGCTCTCCCTAAAACCCTAATTAATCCAAAACCTTAAGCCCTGTGTAGCTATTGATTTAGCCACTCAGTCGTGGCCCTTGCAGCCCAAGCCCCCCTCTCCATTCATGATCATCCAGGCTCGCCAGAAGTCGGGATCGGCTGGTGGCAGGGCTGCGCCAAGGAAGGTGCAGAATGC